TTGGGAGTCACTTCATAAACTTGCGATTTCAGACAATGATTTGAAGTGGGGTTGGCTTGGAAAAGCGCATGGATCCATTCGTGGAGCATACCCTACTCTGTTTGACAACACAGTGCGGCAGCCTGCAGAATCGAATTTATCCATACGAGCTAATGTGGACCAGACTCAGCTACCAAGGAGTGACTATCAAGTGGACCTTAGAATAGCTATTTATAATGCACTAGCATTGGCAGATGATGATCAGGCTGACGGTTCGTCTGGAGCTCGTTCGTTGAGACTTGATCAAATCTTGCTGTCCTTGGGGTTCAAGAAGCCAAAATAGCAGCTGGAGTTCGTGTTACTGATCATTACAATATCTTCTCTTCTGGTTTTCAGCAGTGTGGCAATGCCAGGCATTTTGATGTGAGCTATGGATTCATAAAACGTTGGTTTTTGCAAAAGCTGATAAGACCTTTAGATTGGAAGATGCGAAGGTGACAATTCTTCACAGTGATCCGCGTTTTCTGCTTGTTGTGTTGGAGGGTCAGATTGTTTTTCATTTGCGGTTTGTCACGCACCATGTGTAACTGCGGATAGAACTTGCGATCAAGTCCAGCTCTGGTGGAATGCAGTCACTGAGAGACTTTGCTCTGTTGGAGGTTCCTCTGGTCTGATAATGTTTATAGATGCTAACGCACTGCTTGGTGACCCGGTTTCTGACCTGTACGGTGCAAATGGAGCTGAGGCCATGAATGGAGCTGGATACATCTTTCAGTCCTTCTTGGAAGCAAATGAGTTGTGCGTTCCTGCCACTCTAGGTTATCATCGTGGACCACATGCCACGTGGAGGCACCCAAGAGGACATTGCCTCAGGAGGGACCATGTCGTTATAAGTTCTGCATTGAAGGCCGTTGTATCCTCATTCTGTGTCCTTAGTGACTTTGATGGAGGATTTTGCCATGTTGACCATTGGCCTGCGGTTTTGAGGCCTGATAGGAAGCCTCTAAGATGCAATTACGACAAGATCAGAGATCCGGACTGCATCCAAAGATTTCAACAATCAATTCAGTCTCTGCCTGTCCCATCCTGGGAAGTAAGTGTTGGCGACCACTCAAAAATTCTGGAAACTAATATTGTTCAGCTGGGGCAACAGCATTTCGGTCAGCCATCCAAAATAAAGCAACGACCTGTATTGAGCGAGGCGACGCTAAGTGGCATCAAACTCAAAAGACAAATGCTTGATATGATGAGGACTTGTTTGCCATCTGACCCATTGCTGGTTTCCGAACTCAAAGCGATCGAGAAGATCCTGAGGCCTAAGGTTCGTCATGACCAAGCCAGGTGGTATGACCTTTGGATTGGCGACATCAACGATGCTGATTCACAACATGATACTGCCGCCCTGTACAAGAAACTTACCAGGTTCGGCAGGCGCAAAAAGACTCTGGAAAAGGGCCATAGACCATTGCCTCAACTCCGGTTACAGGACGGCACACTAGCACAATCCCATACACAGTGCCAAAGTGTGTGGGGAGAGCAATTTGCTCGGGTTGAAGCCAGAGCTGTGGTCTCCAATATGCAATTGCAGCAGCTCCATGCCCTGCAAGATTTCTCTGCTGACAGAGATATAGCAGTCTGTCCTTCACCATCCGACATACTGAGGATTATTAGGAAGTTTAAAAATGGTAAGGTTCCAGGACCAGGCCTACTTCCAGTTGACGTTCTTACATGTGGAAGTTTTGCCATTGCTCAGCTGCTCTGTCCGCTGCTTGCCAAAGCTAGCTGGCATGCCATAGAGCCTATATCTTGGAAAGGTGGATTGTTGGTTCCACTGTTCAAGGGTAAGGGATCGGCGCAGGGCCCTGGTGCATACAGATCTATATTTATTTCTGATGTAATGATGTATGTGCTAAAGTTCATCATGCAAGAATCCGTGGGTCTCTTGCAGACCAGCGGCATCAGTCCACTGATCTCATCCAGCAAGGAGGACGCAAGGGATGTTCTACGGATATTGCCCATCACATCCTGCATGCGGATACAGCTTGGGCACGTTCAAAGGCGGTTTTCTGTGGAATCCTGTTTGTAGACCTAAAGGCTGCTTTCTATTCTGTACTGAGAAGCTCGTTGTTCGAGCAGGAGATGCATGATGATCTGATTTGCACTGCCATGAAGCATCTTGGGATCTTGCCCGAAGAATGGCATGAGAGCAAGGCTGTTGTGACGCGTGACAATGCCACAGAAGGCTTGCAAGAGCATCACGCGGCCATTCTGAAGGATATGTTTGCAGGCACCCACTTTACTATGAGAGGCCTTGGAGAGACAACGGCAAACAACCGGGGGAACCAGGCCCAGTGACCCGGTAGCTGACATCTTGTTCAATATGGCCTTTCGTTTGGTGGTGCTGGATGCGAGAGAAAGATTTCAACAAGCGTCTGCATTTACGTTCATTGGGAGCCCAAATCCGGCAAGCAACATCTTGTCTCCCAAAAAGATGCCCAATGAAGGATTTCCTGAGGTATCGTTTGTTGATGATATTGCATATGTCATGCATTCGAAATGCCCAGCCGCATTGGTAGGATCCTTACAACACGTTGCGTCCTGTCTCCATGATGCCGCAGCCTCTAGAGGACTGACGGTCAATTATGGATCAGGCAAGGCTGAAGCTATGGTCCGACTTGCAGGACCAGGCTCTGCAGCTATGAAGAAGAAAGTTTGGCATGCCCTAGGAGGGAAGCTTCCTGTCGTTGTAGAATCAGGCACGCAATCCCTACAGCTGGTGCATTCGTACAAGCATTTAAGAACCTTCATGCAGGATCATGGAGTGATCAATAAGGATTGTGGCTACCGTGTTGGACAAGCCCGTAAGGCATTTGGACAGTTGAGGCGGCCTTTCTATGGAAAGCGTAACGTCCAGGATAGCACTAAGGTCCGAGTCTTCCAACAACTAGTAATGTCTCGACACCTTTACAACGTGCACACCTGGTCGTGGATTAACACACATGATGAAAGCAAATGGAAAGATGGCATTAGAGATGCAGTTGGTTGTTTGGCTCGTAACTGCATTCGTCCTATTCCTGCTTTCCATTTCTCCACCGAAGAACTCTGTGCCCTGGTTGGACTGCATAGCCCGACTGACAGTCTGTACGCAGGATGCCTGCGATACCTCAAACGAGCTGTTAGAACTGCTCCAGCATTGTTGTGGTCGTTGGTCCATGATACCATAAGTGACAACTCTTGGATGTCATCGGTAAAGCGTTCTTTGGAGTGGATGTGCACACATTACCCATATAAGTTATAAGCTTAGCTTAGATCCTACGGATACTTTGCAATGCCTTGCTGTAGTTGCAATTGATCAGTCTTTGGCGTGCAAGGTTAAACAATGTCTTGCGTCATGCCTTGAGTTCACGAAAGCAGGAGCTGAGGCTAAACTTTGGGACGCTGAGGCTTCAAAGCAGGGTCGAAGTACTCCTCACCACGGTGACAGAGAATGGTTCAGTTAGGGTTGGAAGATGGAAATGCGGACAATGCACAGCAATTTTTGATTCCAAGAAGGCCCTGTCTGTTGACTCTCGGCATCAACATGCCTATTGCACTGTGTTGAAGCGATTTGTGTTTGGAGATGAATGTTTGGTGTGTGGTAAGATTTTTTTTGCCCGTCCCAGACTCTTGGCACATGTCCGATCCTCCGTCCATTGTAGAAGCTCTTATGTTGACTGCTTTCCCCCGGCAGCAGATGAGGTGGTTGAAAGTGCACAGGAGGCTGACAGTGCATATGCCCAGGAGCTGCGCTCCAAAGGCTGGCTACCCACTAAGGCTTTTGTACCTCCAATCAGGGTGTCTGGGCCTTTATTGCCTGCTGGAGGCACTGATTGGCAATGAGGAGGGACTGGATGGATTCCTTCAAAAAGACATTGACAATGAATGTAGCGATGATACAATCCTTCCTTTCCTGTATCAATCCAGTGGAGGGAGCAAGGAGGGAAAACGTAGAGTTTATCAACAATTCGGGTTGGCTGCTGAGGCCGCCCGACGACACATAACGTGTTATGTCTTTGTACATTTTTATAGCGGCTTTAGAAGGCATGGTGACTTGCAGCATCATACCGAGATGCAAGCTGCAGTTACCGATGCACAGATTTTCTGCATATCCATAGACCTCTGCCTGGCAAAGGCCAACTCTGATCACACCTGCAGCAAAACCAAGGCTTTCTGGGTCGAGAGAATGAGAAGCGGGCAGGCCTGAAACGCCGTGTATGAAACAGATAAAGACTGGCACAACTCTTATCCAATTGTTGCTTGATTTGTTGACTCTGGCAGCTGAGTTAGGGCTGTGTGGCTTTAGAGCACCCAGCATTCCCGATCTGGGCGATGCAGCAGAGACCAGCTTCCATTTGGACGTTGGATGCTGCCCGTGCCCTTGCCAGGCACCATTGCTTTCAAATCTGCGCGTTTGACCAGTGTATATTTGATCTCCTAGCTCGCAAGCCAACCACCTTGCTGCTAGTACCGCTAGGGCCATTTGGCGATTTGGTTCGGCAAAAAGGCTATGGTGGTCGATGCAACCACAAAGTCCCCCTCTTAAGGGGAGAAACGACAAGGGCGAATTTGCTACATCGTGCGCGAAAATCTACCCGCCAAGCATGAACGAAGCCCGTGCCCTGTCATTCACGAGGTTTTTAGACTCACGTTCGTTGTCCGCTGGAACGAGTTTGCCGTCGTGTTTACAGGAATTAAATAGTGCAGATTTTGTATCTAAGTCCACTGTACAGAAGGACTATCATTCGTGAAGCACGATTGCCAAAGTGCACGACCCAAGCATGACCCATGCAGCAACCGCAAAGTGACAAAAGTGACATATATATATATATATACACACAGATACATTGACATATATTGACATATAGAATGTGGCTTTGTACATTGTGTACATGTACACAAAGACCTGTCCGCTGGTCCGCTGTCTCAAAGTTACCATCCTGGACGTACGACTTGCACGACTTGCACTTCTCTGAGGACAACACCGCAGCCGAGAGGAAGAAGCTGAAGTAAAGTGCAATGACTGTCAAGACGCGCTCATCATAATTCACCGGGGTGACCTTAAAAAATTAAGTCTTCAAATCACACAAGTCATTACATGTCTGAGACAAAACCTTAGCATACAAAGCACTAGACTAAACAGCAAGCTCTCAGCCACGCAACCTCCATGGTTCCAATAAAAAGCGTGAGCGCCCAGTGAAGCGAAATGAAGTAGAGGTGTCCAATCGGTTTTGCGCTATAGCCAAAGCGATCGATCCAATTCGCATCGGTTTCACTGTCCTCGATTGATCAGAAAGTTCTCAGTCATGAGTCAAGCGCTGGATCGAAGGAAGCCATGGCAATGGATATGAATGTATACATTGCATTGCACTACGTTACATTTCAGTATAGTAATAAAAGCCAAGGAGCAATTCCAAGTCTATACCAGACACAGGCCTCAATGGTGGGTGGGCACATGGTGCAAGATGCCAACACCATTGTACACGGTATACTGTAAACCCAATGATATTTGCAAACAGGGGGCCAGCAAATGCCAAAAAATCATCATACCTTGGCATCAAGTTCCGCATTTCTTGATTTTCGTGCTCAGCATGACTGATCACAGGTTCAAGAAGCCGAGATGGTGTCTACGAGTCTACATTGTCACATAGTCTACACTGCGACAAGCTGCCTGTCATGATCTTGAAGATGCCCATGATTGTTGGAAACATCCCAGAGCGAAAGAACGCCGCAAGGTGTCCGATGAGTTCAGTCATGCGAGAAAACCTGACCAATCGAATCAGCCTGGCAACCTCAGCAGCGTCATGGCTTCAAATTCTCATCTCGATTAGTCCCTTTTAGTCTCTTTTAGTCTCTATTAGTCTCTATTAGTCTCTATTAGTCTCTATTAGTCTCTATTAGTCTCTATTAGTCTCTATTAGTCTCTATTAGTCTCTATTAGTCTCTATTAGTCTCTATTAGTCTCTATTAGTCCCTTTTAGTCTCTATTAGTCTCTATTAGTCTCTATTAGTCTCTATTAGTCTCTATTAGTCCCTTTTAGTCTCTATTGGTCTCTATTAGTCTCTATTAGTCTCTATTAGTCCCTTTTAGTCTCTATTAGTCTCTATTGGTCTCTATTAGTCTCTATTAGTCTCTATTAGTCTCTATTAGTCCCTTTTAGTCTCTATTAGTCTCTATTAGTCTCTTTTAGTCTCTATTAGTCTCTATTAGTCCCTTTTAGTCTCTATTAGTCTCTATTAGTCTCTATTAGTCTCTATTAGTCTCTATTAGTCTCTATTCACTCTGTTCCTGAAGTCAAGGCTCATTCACAGCAACCGTTTTAGTTCAGACTGCAGTCTCTCCTGTCCATGAAAATCAGTAGAGAAACTTTGAGAAAACGAATCATCTTCACAGACTTCCCAAGTCTTGCAGCGTCTGTACCTTGGTCACTCTTGCCGATGTATGTTGTCCACCCAGTTGGCACACGCTTTGCTGGTACTCTGCAGTTTAGTAGTCCTTCACAGAGCGAAGAGAAAGAGAAGTTAAGGATGGGACTTTCAAGATCAACGAGATCAAGCCAGTCCAAGCAAACCTCAGTTTTCAACATATTGACTCGCTCCAACATGTTTTGTTCAGTAAGAGAGTTGATCTGTCCACAAACTGTCGAGACCTTGGGGGGGCAAAGAGGCTGGCACAACTCACATCTCAAGACAAGTCACAATTGAGAAGTCTAGGGCAAACCAAGTCTTCAAATACTGCACGCTAGCCTCAGTGGACGGAGACTTGACCAGGATTGGTTTCTCAGCTTCTGATGACAACTGCGCAAGACAGGCAGGGCAAGCTCGACGTGGAGACATCTCCACTGACCCATCTGGGCGTGCGAAGCCCCTCCTTAGTGTTTCGAAGAAAGTGCAAGCCAGGCAAACACTCTTATTTCAGTTTGGTGACAAGTAAAGAACTCTGGCAGCAATCAATTCTTCGTAAGCAGGACCCAGAGGACTAATCTGTAGGGCCTAGAGTCACAAAAAAGCATAGACCCCAGATTCGTGGGCAGCACTTAAATGTTCTTTGTATCGCGCACAGCACTCTGACACCAGCACTGCAGCAGCACCCTGCAGCAACACCCTGCAGCGGCACCAGCACCCAAGAGCGCGCTGCAGGGCCAACAACAAGATGTCATAATTTTCATCTTGCTGAATTATATAATGATTTCAGTTTAAATGCAAGTTCAAAACTGAGCTCCAAAGTGCAAAAAGCACCTTGGCAGCAGCACTTTGGCAGCAGCACCCTGCAGGGGGGCCCAGCAGTGGCACCAGCAACCAAGCCCAAAAGCAGCACTCTGACAGCAGCACCTTGCAGCGGCACCCTGCAGCGGCACCCCCTGCAGCGGCGCCCTGCACAACCAAGCCCCAAAGCGCAAACAACGCCAACACAGGCACCCTGCAAACATCCGACAGCAGTACCTTGCGGCACCCTGCAAGCGCTGCCCTGCAGCAGCACCCTGCAGCGGCACCAGCAGCCAAGCTCCAAAGCGCAAACTGCACTCTGACGGCGGCACCTTGTAGCACAGCGGCACCCTGCAGCGGTACCCGGCAGCAGTACCCAGGAGCGAGCGGCACCAGCACCCAAGCCCCAGAGCGCTGACAGCAGCACCCTGCAGCAGCACCCTGCAGCAGCACCCTGCAGCAGCACCCCGCAGCACCAGCACCCAAACTCAAAAGTGCGCACAACACTTTGACAGCGGCATCCTGAAAGCAGCATCCTGCAGTGGCACCGTGCAGTGGCACCGTGCAGGCACCAGCAAAGCAGCGGCACGTGCAACCAAACTCCCAAGCGCAAACAGCATTCTGACAGCAGCGCCTTGCAGCGGCACACTGCAGCGGCACACTGCAGCGGCACACTGCAGCGGCACCAGCATCCAGAGCGCAAACAGCACTCTAAGACAAGCACCTTGCAGTGGCATCCTGCAGCGGCACCAGCAAGCAATATGCAACTCTTCTTATACTTGAAGTAAGAACCCCAATAGCTTTTGACAAGATCCGGCCGTGTGTATACGGATCCTTTTGACAAGCATCAAGAAGTTCATGCCGAGATCTGACGTCCAGAAAACCCGCAGGATCCAATTGATGATCGCCCAGCCCTCTCCTTGTGACAGTTTTAACCAACGTGGCTTGGTGCAAATGAGACAGGCAGGTCAACGTTGAAACGTGAGAATTAGGTGGATGCCGGCCTTCATCAAGAAGCAGTTGCAAAGGTATTAGGACAGCGTCACAAGCCTTGGATGCTTCACAGGGTTTCACTATGTTTCACTGCTCAGTGGAGCCTTGACGACTAAAAAAGCTGAAAAATTGTGCAAAGAACAGGATAGAACGAGCTCTTCGGAAAATGCAGACGTGGCACAATAAAAATCGCTGACAGAACGTCCCATGCGATTCGACCTCTGGATTGAGGTGTCATCATCAACGGAGCCAGACGTGCTGAGAGGCAGTCCTTGGCACTGGCCCCCCATCAGAGACAAACAGAGACAGGCCACTGGCAGGCATGGAAGGTGTTTGCTTCGCCAAAGACCAAGCTCTGAAGGACGCATTGCGGTGAACCATTGAAGCCAAGAAGCAAGTTCTTCTTCCTTGTGCGAAGCGGGAATGAGACACGGCTGGATGTAAATTGAATGTTTCACTTAGTTACTAACAGTTAGTTGTTCTTTCCCATGGGGCGCATTGTTGGAGAAATCCTTTTAGAGGATCTTGTGTCACCTTCAAATACCAGTTTACCAGGCACGTGAACTGAAGAGAGATAATGCCATCTGAGAAGCACTCTCACCATCCATATACCTGGCTTTTCAACATCATAACATATCATAACCACCTTTCCCAGTGCACATGTCCAATCATGTCAAGCCATGTCAAGTTGAGAGAGCTAGAAAGAATTCTTGATCCAAGGCCTGAGTCTCGAAGTGTTTGTTGGCCTTGGCCGCAGACCAGTGACCAAAGTGTGAGGCAGTGGATGTGTGGTGCTTCTGTCCATGGTCAGCTCTCAAAAGATTTCAACGAGTTTCAACAGAATTCATGCGACTGTTTTCAATCCTGAAAATTATGCAGGGCACATGTCTCGTGGATGCTCATGAATGGTAGCGATCGCAACCTGTCTCGACCAGTCCTGCCAGAATCGGGACCGATGTGTTTCGTTTAGAGACTTGGACTTGAAACAAACTCCAACTAATGCCATGGACTGTTTGTGCAAAGAAGGACCTCATTTGCACATTGTAAACTAGTGGCAGCACCGATAATAGCCGAAGAAAAGAGCTTTGGGTGACCAGCCTCGCGTATCCGAAAGTCGGCCTTGTCCGGCAATGGTCGAAAACCTCGTCATTCTCAAGATGTAGAGCTATGCCAGCTATGCAGAGTAAAGATATGTCAAATATGTGAGACAAGTATAGACAAGTCAGATATGTCACGGCTCAAAAATGCCCGTGACATCCGTGACACGAAGCCTCGGATCTTTGTCAAATCTGTTGCTCTTGGGCCTGCACTTTGAACACTGAACTTATGGCTATGACCTTCACTCGGACGATGTGGTGATTCCTTGGAATTGCAAAAATAAAAAGAAAAAACAAGAAAAAGCAGTTGATTTTTGTTTGAAAAAAGGGCTGATTTCCGCTGGACAAGATAAGATAGTTTGCCAAAAGAGTTCGTTCGAATATGCAGTGATTAGATGCCTGACGGCCTGAACGCATGACGAACGCTGTTGTACGGGCTCATGAGCGGATCATGTGCAGCCAAGGTGCGCTGCGCTCGGACCCCTCTCCAGCCGAAACGAAGTGCAGGGTCGTACGCTGCGACCTGGCTGCTCGGGCCCTGGAAAGTCGTCCGAAACCGAAGCAGTGGCGAAGTGTGACACAAAGACATGTCCGGTGCACTCTTCTGCCGCATTCGGTAGCTGCACAGCCTGGACCTTCCACGATTTCAATTTCACATGGTCGTTGGGCAATTCAAATGGGTCACATGGGTCACATGGAAGGCAGGAAGGCAGCCATGACATGATTCTCGAATAGCTGATACTGGCTCTCTCCCCCTCAGACTTTGGTGCACCTCTGAGGCATTTTCATGACCACCTTGCGCTGTTTCCTGCACCAAGAAAAACGTCACGCTATGGACTCCCTTGCAGCTAACAAGTCGGCCATTTTCTCATAGCTTTTCATGAAGAATGCTACGTGGAATACGTATGTGCAGCTGGTCAAGAGCTCACAATGGGCCCAACTGCTGTCCCGCAACATTTGCAGCTTGCTGATGCTCTTCTCCTCAGTTGGAATCATGCCCAGTTCACACTACCGTTGGAGCTGCTTCTTTTGGCATCACAAGCATGCAACCTACAACAGAAGCAGATCCCGGACATGTTCAGTTCAAGTTACATGGCTGCTTCGCAGGCACTGAGCGAGATCTTGGAGGGCCTTCTGAAGGCTCTCCTGCAATAAGGAGGTCTCAGCCAGTGGAAAGCACCTCAATAAGGAGGCTCTCAACTTTACAGAGCTTGCCTCGAAGTCGGAATCGGCTGCCTGTTGAACGAGTTTATACGTGTGTCCAACAATGTTGACTGAATCAAGCAATTTAATCAATACATGCGAATGATCTGGTTCAGATATGTTTAAATGGTGTCCAAACAAAGCCTGCCTGCATGCTGACGGGGTCTTGCTCTGCCATGGGCCCGGGTTTGCAAAGTGGCTGGGTGTTTCCGTGAGGACCCTACTTTGTGCAGGTGAGGACACTACTTTGTGCATTTGATCTTTCTCTCGTGTCAGAGAGGGTGTTGTGCAAGGTGCAAAGCATGCCGCCATCTTAGTTTCTGTGAACGTTCAACATGACGGCTGTGAAGCCCCCTTAAATTCCGGTGCCATGCAGAGAATCCAACTTGCACATCCCTCAGCATCCCTCAGTTTGCAAGGCCAGAGAATGCCACCTGGATGTGCCAAGCCCTGGTGCCCTGAGGTGCCGGACAGCTTTGAACTTGTTGATGATGTCTTTCAGGATCTTGTTCAAGGCATGGCCTCGCGTCACATCTAGAGTCCTTCCAAGGATGGTGAGTTGATGCGGTTCGTTCTGATTCAGAACTCGCATATCATGTACTTTCAGATGTGACACCTGTGATCTCTGCAGATTCATCAACCGTACTTGATTGTACCGCAAAAATCAACGAGATCACTGTCTCAATCTCGCCCTCGATGAGGCCATCACCCATGTGCAAAGAGCCATTTGCATAAGGCGGTCCATCGTGCAATGTAAAGCTGCCGTTCAGATTGGGCATTTCCTCGTCGGCAAGGTGGGAAGGCAAGCAGCTTGTAACACATTGTCACTGAGCGTCAGAGTAACACAAAGTTAACTCCAGAACAACCATGAACTGCTCCAGAACTGCCTGCAATCTCTCATAGATCTTTTCAGAATCCCAGAACTCTTGGAGTTCAGGCCTTAGGTTGGCTGAAAGGATCCGGCAACGAGAAGCAAATGAATGGGAATGTAATGGGAACCAATACAACTGGTCAGACTTTGACAAATTTGACAAATCATTTTTGCATGCCAACAACATTTACAACATTTGCAGTACATCCCACACCCCATGACAAACAAGGCATCCTGATACTTTCAAGTGCCTGACTCTCGCTTCTTTGCATTGGCTCTCTGCGAGAATTTTGTTGATGGAAGCAGCCTCAACAAACTCAAAGAATGCTTGGATTCAACTGATTCAACTCACGCAAGCCAAAAATTCTGCGCTCAGCCATGTGTCTCTTTGTCCAAATTCTTGGCATCGAACACAGTGTCCTTGTAAACGTCGCCTGTTCCGCAAATCTCAAACGCACAATTCAAAGTTTCAGCATTTTCAGGAAAGACCCAGTGTCTGAACATGGTTCAATATGACTCCTTTGCTGACCAGTCTACTATAGTCTACTGTTGAAAGTCTTGAGAAGTGTGTCACTGTTGGGGCGTACACTTCCTGTCCGAATCTGCCACTCGTACCCTTGCAACAAGGCCATAAAATGACAATCCACAACGGAGGCACCTGAATTGCCATCATCCTTCGCGCGGCATAGCACCTCCGAAGACTAAGGCAGTTGATTCAGCCACACTTGTTGGAAACGCATCAAATATAGTCGAATCTGCAAATCCTTGGGAGCTGACAAGGCGTCTGGATTTGCCATGTTTCTTTGCAAGGCCGATGAAAAGCCTCACAGAGTTGTACATACCTGCCTTGCAACCGGCCCTGCCAGTTGTTATCCAGGAGGTTATCTAGGAGGGTTAAACAAATTTGGTCCACAGGCTCTCTTTTGAGCCGTTCTAGGAGTAAAAGACATTCATTCCATGTGTTGTTCACGATTGCCTACGCACATCAAAATCACAAGCCAGCTCAAGTGCGTTTAGCAGACAAAGGGACAAACAGAAAGGGTCACAAATGGGCACAAACAATTGTTGCATGACACTACTTCCGTACTTGCGCAAAAAGTAAGGTTGCGACCCTACACCGGCAGGGGCCTCATGTGATGGTACGTGACTGCTGGTATAACACTACTTCCATTGATGGTGACCGTTTCAAGGTTCGCAACAAAAAACACAGATGCTATGCGTTCAATGTGAACTCATGTCTCTCCTCACAAGAACATAATTCAAGGCTTTAGACCTCTGGGGCACGCACCCAGAAGCAGCTCCCAAAGTTGGGGCTGGCCACGGCTGCTAAAGCATTTCGTTGCCTCAGGAAATGGTCTCGTTTGCCTTTCTCCACAAGTCCCAGATCTCGGTCTCATGGCCTGGGAAAGAACCGCCCTTTGTGCACAATCAGCTGAAGCTGCCTGCAACAAGTGAAGTGATTACAGACGGTTTTTCATGTTTCTTCAAACCTTTGCAGACACCCAAATGCTAATGCGTTGGGTATTCAGTGCCTATTTCTGCCTTGCAATTCAACAGTTCCTGGCACAAAGTGCTACAGTTTCTAAGCAATAAACTGAAAAAACAAATCAATCATGCCGACAACAATGATGCCACATTGGAATGCAAATCGGATGATGAATATTCGACAGAAACACACATTCCTGTAAATCATGGGAACTGAATGAACAAATGTTTCACACCGAAGAAATCCCATGCATCCAACAAAATTTCTCCTCCAGCAGGACGCCTTGTATGTTCCACAACACGCATCCAATTTAAACGAGAAACCAAAAAATGTGACTATTGTGTATTATATATATATATACATATGTACACCATGTATTTATTTATATATATATATATATGTATTTTTTTATCTATCTATCTATCTATCGATCGATCGATCGATCCATCCATCCATCCATCCATCTATCCCGTATTGTGATCCACATATTGTCTTGACTATGTGTATCTGTTTGCAAAAAATGCAGATGAAACATTTTCCGGAATGAATTCAATTGCAACATTTTGTGTCTGAGGGCAGATCACTGATCGAGGCACAGGCCCATCCTCATTTAGCCCCAAAAACAATTTCAGCATGGAACTGATCAAATAACCACTTTGTAAAGCGGATGTTCTGTTCACCAAAAAAAATAAGGTCCATGCATAAGCCACAGCAGCCATCATATTTGCATCCCAGACACCCTGGCACAAGCAACTCAAAGCGGCAAAAACAAAAAATTGTCTGGCAAAAATTGAAAATGAGACAATGCGCAAAATACCATCAAACTGACAACAATTTCGCAAGGTTCGCCGGTTTGAACTCACAAATGCCATTGGGCACGCGAAAAACCAAAAGACACATATATCAGTGCAGCACAAACATGGTATGCAACGCATCCATTCTGGATTACATATCAAAAACATGTTGTGTCATCTGAAGAACTGGCACAATTATCTGCCAAAGTGGGAAGGCGGAGAGCACATAAGAACGCATAAGAATGTAAATCCCATTTTTGTGTAGAAAACGAACAACAAATTTTGTTTTTGAAGATAGGGCAGCGAGGAACATTCGAAGGGTGAACACAAAAAATGTTGCTATATAGTTGTTGACTCGTTTGCCGCAACAAACGTGCAAAGTCGGAAGATGGCGTTGTTTCTGCAGTGGATAATGGTGCATTAACCACATGATTGGAGGTTTTCAATAAAACGACCCTAAGCAAACCAAAACGATCGAAAACCCTTGTGATCATTTTCTCCCCCAAAAAAGTGTTCACATTAGGGGTCTTACGGTAAGAGTTAAGGCCGGTGCTTGATCAGGGTCTTCAATCTGGTTTCCGGCGTTTTTCCGTGTAAGTTCTCAAAAAACGGGTTTTTGTGTTTTGTCCATATGCATTTCGACTGCGCAGGTTTGCACAAAATTGTTGTCGTGGTCCTGGGGTGCGGCATATTTTGTGTAATTTTTCGCGTAAAATGGCTGTTGTGCGATGTCCAAGTGCATTTCGACTGTGCAAACTTTTACACACTGTGGGTCGTGGTCTTGGGATCGGTCCTCCTCCTCCACATCCTCACCCTCAACATCATCATCTTCCTTCTCCTCAACGTCATCCTTCTCAACATAATCATTTTCCTCCCGCCTTACATCATCATCCTCAACATCATCATCCTCCACGTCATCTCCCGCAACATCATCATCCTCCACCTCCTCTTCCGCAACATTGCCACCCTTTTCATCATCCTCCCCATCATCATCATCATCCTCAACATCATCATTTTCCTCCTTCTCAACATCATCATCCTCCACATTAACATGTTCCATTCACCTTCCTCATTATCATCCTCATCCTCATGCTCCTCAACATCATAATGCTGAACATCATCCTCCACCTCATCTGCCTCAACATAATCCTCCTGCCCCACATCATCCTCAACATCATCGTCCGCAACATTGCCATCCCCGTCATCATCATCATCATCATCATCATCACAATCATCAACAACATAATCATCCTCAACACTATCATACATTAACCTCACACACATGGTATGAGAAAAGTATTGGAGCGTTTTAACGATGTGGTAATCAACGCCTTGATTGAAGTCTCAAAACCTGGGAGTTTTAAAACTCTGCGCGTGCAGCGTAAAACACAAATGCAAGGCACTCCAAACATAAAAGAACAATTCAAGTGTCCATGAACGGAAGTTGAAAAATTAAAACTCGCTCAACCTCGCATTCGAAAATAAGAAATCATTGGATCTCTTCAAACGCACGTGCATCTCAAACTTGTTCAGCGATAAGCCGTGCTGAGGAAAAATTTGCAAACATTAAAAATCGCAATCCGCATGAAATGAAATAAAATGCACTTGATCACAACTGGCTGTCGAGTGGAATTCAAAAGGCGAACTTTTTCGATCTCGTGCTTTGACTCGAGTCGGGGGAAGTTGTCCAAGGTGAGCCACATGTTCACGGCTCAATAGTTTCATATCAAAGGACGCATTCGGTTTCGATCCAACTCAAAATTGAACGAAATCACCGCAGGTTCAGATCGAGGAACTTGAAATGAAAAATTTTCCGGAGATGATAAAATCAGATCACACTCACAGAAAACATGTGGTTCAAAATTGAAGTTCCCCAAAAAAACAGAAACCATAGCGTCATGAAATAAATTAAATGAGTTCGATCTCCTTTCAAAAAGATTCTCACAGTGCAAAACCAAATGTCAAATCACCAAGAGGTATGCACAAATCAAGAAAGGTTCAAAAATTAAAAACACGATTTCGTTGTGTTCACAGTTGGGTCACACAGTTACAATCTGGCATATCTTCCAGACAATTAAGTTGAGTGGACACTTGCGCGTGGTCGCTCTTAAATAATCACGAGACGCAGCACGCGTGCGTTACGCAGGCTTCACCAGAGTCCTAAAAACAGCGGGATCTGCAAGCAGAACCCTTACAAGCATCCTGGGTGAAATTTCTGATTAACAATTTTGGACATTTTTTCCACATGTCGTGGCTAACTAGACAAAATCGGCTCCTTCAAGGCAAGACATCACCAACTTGATATCTCCAGGTGTTCGAATGCCATGGCCCACCTGGCCGCCAAAGAGTTCACAAACCACATCCGGGCGATACGAAGGCCACGCGATTTGAGCACACATCAGCCAGGAGTCACATCCAGGAACCACACTTCTCATAACTTCACTGCAGATAGAAACCCGGTTTGACTTCTAGGAGGCTTTCAAGATGCATTGAAAGGACTGGGAGAGTTCCACCATAGGGCTGGAAAGGACATAGCGAATCCGCTCCATCTGCCCATTGCCGCCTGCGCGCCAATGGTCTGATTCATGGCTCATGCAGCATGTCATCCAAAGCAAGGTGTAGGAATAGCACCCACTCAACTGATTCCAACTGCCGCACAGATGAATTGGCCTAGCGCAGCCACCACGCATGCACTGCCTCGAAGTTGGAACGGCGATACCTGTGGGTCAGCTTTAGAACCACCACTACGAGGCAGTCCTCATGATGGAGAGCTGTCTGTTCTACATCACATAGTCTCCAGTAAGACCAATGTGATGTATTTCGATGAAATTACCGATAAACCATACGATGCAGAATCACCAGATAAAGAAGATACGCGGTGGATACCAAATGTCCCAATCGCATGAAGGACACCATAGTGTACAGAAGCAGCAGAGATCAAACACCTCAAGCTTCACTAGAGAAGAAACACTTGCCGATAGAGTATTACGTTCTCGATATAGTACCAGGTCATCAGAAACGATGATGACCACTGACCACACCAAATAATACGAGGGCAAATCCAAAGTTTGCAGGTTGAGTATGGTCATACAGAGGAGGCCCGCACATGCGAAGCCTGATTTCAATTGACTTTCCGGCCCCAGAAATGGAACCTGAAAGCGCACATGTGGTATCAGCTGTCTCCGTTCCCTAGCTCCAATGCGGCGATTGCAATGCAGCACCACCCAGGCAACATTCACCAATCCGTCGCTACTCCGCGCTACTCCGCGCTACTCCGCTACTCCGTGCTATGTTTTAATTCAATTACCCAATGTACTTGACGCGGTATCGAAGCGATGGCGGAGTAAGAAAACCTTCAATACTTCACCTTCCGACATCTTTCCTTAAGCAGATTCTTACTCCATCCCGTTTTAAGTTTATACTATTAATTAATAACGGGATTGACTGAAAAGATCATAATTCATGTTCTTTCTGGGCTGAAAACCTCGGTAGGAGTCTAGAGGGCAAGGGGGCCCAACAAGGGGCAGTAAAGTATTGAATACCAGTAGTACCGCACAAGGCGGTGGCGGAAGTTTCAAAAATAGGAAACCTATAGGAGAGATTGGTTGTTGTGAATCAGGGATGGCAGAGCGAATCCACTGATGGACCGAAAGGTGCTTGAGGTCTCCTCTCTTTCTCCCTCTTTCTCTGACTATCTACCCACCTACCAACCTATCTTCTATGTATCTATCTATCTATCGATCTATCTATCCCTCTCTCTCTCTTTCATCTAATTACCTATCTATCTATCTATTATCTATCTATTTATCCATCTATCTATCTATCTATCTATCTGTCTACCTATCTATCTATCTATCTGTCTATCTATCTATCTATCTGTCTATCTATCTATCTGTCTGTCTGTCTATCTATCTATCTATCTGTCTATCTATCTATCTATCTAATCTCTCTCTCTTTCATCTGTCTATCTGTCTAGCTGTCTACCTGTCTGTCCATCCATCCATCCATCTATCTATCTATCTATCTGTCTATCTGTCTATCTGTCTATTTGTCTATCTGTCTATCTGTCTATCTGTCTATCTGTCGACCTGTCTATCTGTCGACCTGTCTATCTGTGGTGCAGTGTCATTCAGTGTAATGTAGTGTAGTGTAATGTAGTGTAGTGTAGTGGAGTGTAGTGTAGTGAAGTGTAATGTAGTGTAGTGTAATGTAGTGTGGTGTAGTGTAATTTACTGTAGTGGAGTGTAGTTGTGTATTCGTAGTTGTAGTTGTAGTGTAGT